TTCCTATTCCCTGGTCCCAGAGATTTAAACTCATGGCATTTATTCCATGTTTCTATCAGTCTCAATCTCCCAGCCATCTTGAGCTCCATTCCCACTAGCTTCTCTCATGGAAACATACTTATCATAGCTTGGGGTGGGGGGCGTTGTTTGCTCAAAATTTGTCAATGATTTCTCAGAATGAATATAGAAAAATGGTTTTTCAGACATGCTAGATAAAGGGTCAGCCAGATTATCAGTTAGGATGCAATTCATCTGGTCCTTACAAGTTGTACAAGTACAAGTTGTTCCTTGTATTTCTCTCAGTCCATCTTGTCTCCCATCCTGCCTTTCACAGTTTTTGAGGTGAAAAACAGAGCCATACATTAGCACCACTTTTATTCAATTTCTGTAAGAATGATGTGGTAGACACCTTAGTGACTCAAATCTTCACCCACTAAAATGGGCCGAAAGGCATATTGCTATTCTGCTATGTGCAGATGATGCTGTGCCTTTTCCAGGACCCCTAAAGGACTTCAAAGAGCCTTGAGAGCAATTTTGCACTACACTCCAAAGGGGACCCATTGGAGATTAATTTCTTTAAAACAAAAATCATGGTATTTGCTGATGGGCCGAGAACATTTTCCCAACCTGTCAGTGGCGATGCCATTAAACAAGCGCTATGCTTTAATGGCAACGGAACAGCCCATGGTGATTCTGTCACCCAAATGGCGCCCAAGAGTGCAGCGGCTGTTTTAAGAGCCCATTGCCCTAGGGGGAGGGGCAATAGGTGGGTGAGCCTCTCAGTGTGGTGGTGGTGGGGTTAGTTATATGTATTGAAAATGTTCATATAATAATGACAAACTAAAAAGAAAAAAAAAGCAGGAAAGTTCAAGAAAGAAAAAGAAAGCAGTTAAGAAACATATAGATGACTTCTGACCTTCTTTTCAACAGATAATTACATTCTTATTGTCCCTCCTCCCTCTTAAATATTTTACAAGTCCCTTCACCCCTTCATTTAGTCCTCGTCTTTCTTAGTCTTCAAATCATCAATTCCAATTTTCTTGTTTCAGCAAAAAGTCCATATAAGGCTCCCAGTCTTTCAAAAAAGTTTTTGTTGCAGCCATTTCTGCAAATTCTGACATTTTCACAATCCATTCCTCCACTGTGGGAATTTCATTATTCTTCCATCGTTGTGCATACCTTGCTGCAGTTACCATATACGGTATCAGTTTACCATGAGTCTTTTCTAATTCATTATCCTTAAGTCCCAGTAAGAAGAGTTCTGGTTTTTTACCAATATTAAAATCCTTTGCATCACTTTATGAATTTGTGACCAGAATTTCTTAGCTTTCTCACAAAACATGATAAAATGCCCCCTCGTGCTTTTCACACTTCCAGCACTGGTTTGAAATACCCTTATACATTTTTTATAATTTCCCTGGTGTCATATACCAACAGTGCATCATTTTATAGAAATTTTATCTTAAATTGTAACACAGTGTGAATTTAATACCAGTTACCCACATTCTCTCCCAAGTATCCTTCTCTATGTTATATCCAAACTAAGCAGTCCATTTTGTCATGCAATCTTTAACCTGTTTTTCTGTTTCAAATCTTAACAAAAGTTTATATTTTTCTGCTATTACATGTTTATCATTTGTACATAATTCCATTTCAGTTTTATATTTTTTAATTCCAATTGTCTTTTTTATCCATAATAAACTTTTCTTTTAACTGTGCATATGAAAACCTTTGAAAACTATATCCTTCTGCAATCAGTTGTTCTCTTGACTTCATTTTCATTCCTCCTTCATCCTGTATTAATAAATCTTAATATGTTAACCACTGTTCTCTGTTTGCTGTTTCTCTTCTATAAAATGCTTCCTCTGCTGAGGTCAATAAAAGTATCTTCAGGAACAGCCTGGATTTGTATTTATTCCATATTCTCAATATGGCACTCCTCACATAGTGATTTCTAAAATCCACATTAACTTTGTCATAATATAAAAACCCACACCAGCCAAACCTCAAATTATGATCTTCCAATTCTAACGTTCTCTTATTTCTCAGCAAAACCCATTCCTTCATCCAAACCAAACAACAGGCTACAAAGTACAATTCATAACATCTTTCATTCTTTCAGCTAAGACCATAGTAAATACTTTATAATCATTATTCAGTAAAGAAATTGGTTGGGATTTTTTTGGTAAAATAGGAACTTTATGAAGTCATTGTTAATGAATTAAAGCAATATTTGCTCCTTTCAAACTCTCTGGTATCAATCTCTTTTCCAAAATGGGGTTCATCATTATTTGCAAAGGTTTTATCAATTCATTTTCAAAGCATTGTGGTAAGATGCAGGTAATCCATCTGGTCCTGGTGCTTTCCCTATTTTAGTCTTTTTTTAATTGCCTCATTAATTTCTCTTATTGTTATAGGTCCATTCATTATCTGCTTTTGTTTCTCCGTTATTTTTGGTAGCTTTGTTTTCTTTAAACATTCATTTACTTTCTCATTTGAAATCTCTTTGCCTTTGTATCGTTTTACATAATATTGTTGAAAAGTCCTTTGCATGTTTACATTATCTGTTACCATATCATTCCCTTTTTGTAATTTTAATATAATTTTCCCCTCTTTCTTTCCTCAGTTTATGCTAGCCATTTCCCTTGCTTGTTTGCTGATTCAAAATTCTTTTGTTTAGCAAAATTCATTTTTGTTTCCATTTCTTTAACCGTCAACATGGAAAACTGGCATTGCAAAAGTTTAATTTGTTTCAAAATACTTTTACTTCCTGGTGATCTTTTTAATTTTTTAAATTCATCTTCTTCACTTGTATCTCCACTAAGATCTTTTTCATCTTCTTTTCTCTCTGTTTTTTCAATTTAGTATTCTGTAGTATAAATTGTCCCCTCATGAATGCTTTACCTGCATCCCAAACTCTTTTTTACAGTCCTTAATTACTGATTCCTTTTGTCTCATTTAGTCTCCATCTGTATGTTCTCTATTTCTTCTTGTATATTAAAGTCACTGGATTATGATCAGAAAAAGGTTTTGGTAATATCTCTGCTTTGCTAGTCCATGTAGATAATTTCCCCAAAGTCCATAATGTATCAATTCTTGAAAAAGAGCTGTGCCTCTCAGACGGTCCGTGGGACGTTGAGCACAGCTGTTGCTATATGGATTCAGTTAGATTGTCCTCAGGCACCTTTATGTTGTTGTCTCCTTTTCTATTCACCCCAAGTTGCCTCTGGCAAGATAGGCAGCTACATAAATGGATAAAAGCCCCCAGCACAGCGACTGTACCTTGTTGGGAGGTAGATGCAGAAAGATCCCATATTTGTCAATTTTATGTTGCCACAGTTGCTCTGTTTCTGAATAATATTTTCTTATCTTGTATGCCTTATTTTATTCTGTAAATTCTATTCTGTAGCTCTACTCTGCAGTTTTTATTTAGTAAGTGTTATTTAGTCTGGGTCATTGACCTGTAATAAAGAATTTGATTTGATTTGAACAATATTATAGGATTTACCACCCAGCAATATGCAGAGTTTCTGCCACGGGGGGACAAGAGGTCCTGCACCGTTGCACGTAAAATCAGGCGCAGCTGAACCTGCTTGAGGATGGTCTGTTTGGAATGGCAACTCCCAGCGCCATGTTTAGAACCACTTGCATTTTCAGTGAAGCTCTTAGATACGTCTTCTGTCTTATATTTATCCTCCTCATTTATTTTAATCCTTTCAATTTTATCCTACTATTGAGTGAAGCTTTATTTCTTTTGGTTAAAATTATGTTTTTTCCCACCTGCTGCTTATGTTAGTCTTTAGGTCTGCTGCTATCTTTGCTTGGGCTGGTTAAAGACTGCAGTAAAGAAGGACTGACAATTTCCAGGTGAAGCACATTGCTTTTTGTTGGAGAAGACGGAACCAAAACAGGAATTGAGCAGCTCCGCTTCTTCTTTATCCCCTTTTAATGTTTCCCCATTGCCACTAAACTATTGATTCTTTCTTTTTCCTTTTATGTTGAAGGTATCTAAACAAGCCCTTTACCTTATTCTCAGCACTGTTCATTGAGCTCAGCTCATTCAGAGCTTTGTTTTCCCTGATGGCGGCTCTGCAATTCTGGCCACTGCTGGGTGCTCTTCTTCTCTTTCAACTTCCTGTTTATCTTCATTTTCAACAATTTGTGAAGCCACCTTGTCTCATACTGCCCTCCATTTTTTTCCCTCATTGTTTGCAATTATGCTTTTAATATGCTTCTTCAGGAACTCCCACCCATGTTGAAGTCCTTTTCCCATTCATTCCTCCTGCTGCGGGATCCTGCTTATTTTTCTCTGAGTTCACTAAAATCTGCTCTTTTGAAGTCCAAGATATGAGTGGAGGTTGCCTTCCTAATGGGGTGGGTCCGAGGAGAAGATGGTGTTGTGAATTCCTTTGGTCAAGAAACAATTGTTCTGCAGCAGCCTGGTTGTGCCAATCAGTGTAAAGTCTTCCCTGTCAATTAGCATCAAGTCAAGGATAAGTGATCCTCTTGTGCCTTCCTCCACCCTGAAGAAAGTTGTCAGCAAGACAGGTCAGGAATTTCCTGGAAAAACCTTGCTTGGCAGAGTTTAACCAATGCCAGGGTAGCTAAAGTCTCCCCTCATTATTGCCTGTTTAGCAACAACTCCTGGGACACACCTTGTCGGCTTTAATATGGAATCAGGTGATGGCAGGGCACTCTTCACCAGAGACTGACCCCAGATCAAGAAGGTCTGGCCATTACAGGGATGGCATGGCGTGGCATAAGCAGGAAAAGGTCAGGTGTGTGAAAAGCTATCTTGGTAGTGCTCCCCACCCACACCTGCACATTCTTCATGGAAACATACATTTATCAAGATGCCCGGCCTCCTCACAACTTAGGCCAAGGCATCTGGCAGTGCAGGACCTTGGCCAGAATTCTCTCCAGCTGTGCTACTTGGGCAATCCTGTGTTGGTGCTGATCTCCATCATTTCTCTTGGTGTAACCATTTCCTTCCTTTGCAGATTTTGAGCCCAGACCTGAAAAGGAATCCTGGACGTTTATTCCTTGGTTGTGTATCATGGTCATCGTTCTCATTCTCTCCTGCTACCTCAGTTCGCTTTGGTGGGTTTCATTTATCAGCTTGCTTGATTGTTCAGTTGATAAGCCGCGTCAGCCATTCAAGCAACTCTCGGCCACCTACAACAGTTAAATCAATAAAACAAGTAGAAAACAGTAATAAACCACAACAGGAAGTAAATATTACTATACTGGGGAAGGAAACACCGAGAACCAGGGAATAAAATCCACATCTCAGGGTGAGATCAGAAATCGCTCTGTCCCAAGCCTGCTGAAAGAGCCATGTTTAAGAGCTTTTCTAAACAGCAGCAGGATTGGAACTATGCGGATCTTGGGGTGCGGGATACTTTCCCACAGGCATGGCCAGCCACAGAAAAGTCATGTCTCAGAGTTCCTAACAAGCTGACATAATTTTAACAATGGGACCTGGCGCATGGCTGCTCTGCTGGATCTAGCAAGATGGCAAACATACCTGGAGATACGCATCTAGCCAGGCCCTGAGCCATGAAGGGCTTTGTTGGTGACAACCAGCACCTCGAATTCCACCCAGAAGCTGACTGGCAACCTGTGCAGTTTATGGAACGGAGATGTTATCCGGGTGAACTGAGGTGCACCCATTACCATTCAGACTACTGCATCTAGTTACACCAGATGCAGCTTCTGACTGGTCTTCAAGGGCATACCCATGTAGAGCGCATTGCAGTAGTCCAACTGTGAGGTGACTTAATTCTTGATGAGGAGGATTCTTGATCCAACCCCATCAAGAATTACAGTTGGAAGATCCCTAGTTACCTCTTCCATGAATCCACACTCGCTCAGTCTAGTTAAGATTGAACCTGCACCTGTTCCTCCCCATCCAAAGCCTACCAGCGTCTAGTCATCAAGACATAACCTCACAGTATCATCGATCAGCCAAGGGTCAAGATCTACAATTGGGCATCGTCTGACCCCATGCTGGCAGATGACTTCACCCAGCAGCCTCATGTAGATGTTAAATAGAAGTGGAGAGAGATTCCCCGAGGAATCTCCCAAAGACAGGATCTCAGGCTCAATCTCACCCCCGCCCCTGCCAATCCCCCAGCACTGATTGGGACCAACCTGAAGGAGAGGAGAGGAACGACTGCAATATAGTGCTCACTCACATGGATGGTCAAGTTGTACCTCATAAAAATCACTGGTGCTGGGGTCTTAAAGCCTCAGATGTTTGGGGCATCCAGCACAGAAAGGGTCCGTCTGCTCTCGTCTTCCCGTCTTCCCGTCTGGCTGTCGCCTGCTCTTGTTGGGCAGTGGGCAAAGACAGTAATTCCTGAAAGTCTGAGTGGGCTGCAGCTCCAGGCTTCCCTGCCTTTCTTTGGAAGCTGGGATGGCCCTTTATAGGCTCATAATGAAGTGAGTTCTTTTCTTCATTTGCAGGGTGAAGAGGAAATGGTGGGATGAGATCCCAAGTCCAGCCAAGAGCAAAATGGTAGAGGATATGACAGCGAGAAAACTGGTAGGCAGCCCCCAGGGTGGCTCCTTTTTTGGTGGCCAGAGTACCTTCCATGCAGGTATCCTCAACCATCCTGCTTCTTTCAGTTTTCAGTTTTTGGCATGATGGAGACAGCAGCAGAACACAAGACAGTTTCCTGTGACTCCCGCAGACGGTACGTAGAGCGAATAGCAGCTTTTTCTTGCCTGTAACAAAGACCAGGGGCTCTGGCCCATTACTGGCTGTGGAGCTTTCTGTGTCATCAAAACAACCTTTCCCCGAGGAGGAGGCTGCAGCATGGTGGGGCAGAGATGCAGGCGGGAGCATGAGGAGGAAGGCAAACCAGCAAAGGGGCCCTCATGCCAATGGTAATGTGATCATCGTGTCTTTTCTTCCCCACATACAAACTGTAGACAGTTTCAGAGCAAAGGTGGTGCTGATCTTCCTCACCAGCCTACGAGAGCGAACTGGGAGCCCTTTCTAATCCCTGAAGTCTCTTTGATTGACGGCTCTCTTACAACGTGCAGCAGTGCAGTAGGCATCAAACAAGGAAGCCCGGAAGAGGAAGAGGAAGAGATGGATCACGTCCCACATGAAGACGCCCTGGCCGGTCTCTTCAGGGACCTTCTGTGCGGCGGCGTCCTGAGCACAGGGGATCTGGGGCCCCCAGCAACCTCCGCCCAAAGAGGTTGTACTGCTCCAGAGAAGTGTGACTGTCTGGAGGGCTTCTTCCAGCCTGTTTACCAAGGCTGCAGCATGGTGTCCCAGGCCTGTGAGAGCTCTGGGCCTGAGCATTCATGCCTGTCCACTCCTGAAGCACGAGCCAACTGGCTGCCTGGGCTGGAGAGCTCACCAGCTGCTCCCTCTGGCACCATCATACCTGGCAGAGCCAGTCCTCAGGCCAAAGACAAGTCAGAGGGTGGCATGGCCGCCCCCTCTGCTCCAGGCTACAAGTCCATCAGCAGCCTTGAGGCTCAGGCTGGGAGCAGCTTCAGCCAGGCTTGGCAGCAATGGCCTTGTCTTCCTCAGGGAGGCCAAACCCAGGCCCAGGGCAGCCCAGGACCCAGCCTTCTGCCTCCAGGGACAGAGCCACTGCTAGGTGCTTCCAGAAGGTTCCCAGCAGGTCAAGACTCGCTGTCCCTTTACGGATCAGCCACAGAAATGTGGCTTTCACCTCCACAGCAGGGAATGGCCTTGGAAGCCTCTGCTCTGCTTGACCTCAGAAGGCCAGGGAGCCTGTCTGGTCCAAAGGCCTCTCTCCTCTCTGGCTACCGCTCCTTCAGCTGTGCTCTCCAGAGCAGCGTCTCCTCCCAGGATTTCTGCTTGGAGTCCCCCTATAAGGCTTTCCTCAGCTCAGTCCCCTTGGACCCCAGTCTGGAGGCGGCGCAGGCTCTTGGCAGCCCAGCTTGGCCAAATGCCCCTTGGGGATGGGTGGGGACAGACCTCTGACCAGCACTCGAGCGTTCTGCCATAAAAGGGAGCCCGTGCCAGGCACTAAGGACTTTCATGCCCCTGAGTTGCTGAGCAGGGAGCAGGAGAGCCTCCATCCAAGCCTCAGATGGGGGGGTCCTGCTCCCATTTCACGCCTGGAGAACACAGTTGCGCTCTTGTGGGGAGAGGGTCTCTCTCAATGTCAGGACCCAACAGAGTTGGCTGGAGAAAAACCAGGGCAATGACCACCTCCTTGACGTGGGACAGTTGGCAGAGCCTGTGGCTGGGTCACCCAGAACCTGCCTCTTGGAGGGAAGCTGAGGGGCATAAAACAGAGGCTTTTCAGGGGCAGGGGATTCATTAAAACCGCAACAAAAGGGACTCCATGAGCGTGCTTAAAGAAACCTCAGAGCTAAACGGGCTTTGCACCTTTTCAGACAGAAGCAGATAAGCAGCTTCTGAAAATCCATTTCCCCACTTCACAATCCTGGAGTGTTTTGTGAGCTGTAAATGGGGAATTTGCATGGCTGCCAAGGGGGGTCAGGAAGCCTGCACCATGGGATGTATTTCCCCCGACTCGTGGCCCTTCCCGATTTCAAGGCCCTTCGTAGAGCTGCTGCTATGGAAGGGGACCTGGTTGATCCCGCTTCACCTGGAAGGCGGCTGCTGTGGGCATCTTGCCAAGCCCACCCTGCTCACATCCCCCTTGGCTCCTGCACTTCCCAAACCTTGACTGTGAGTGTAACATTAAAGACTTTTATCCCTCCAATTGATCTTCATTGCTCTTACTGCAGTTGAAAATCTGCCATGGGTGATGGCTGGAAGGGAAGGGTGGGCTGGACTGAGGGTCCCTCCTGGGAAGAAGGAAGGCCACCCCCCTCTTGGGGTCTCTGCCTTGCCTGGGTGGGGCAGAATGCTCTGGAGCCCAAGGGTCTTTCAGATCTATTATGGTTGGTATGGGGGGGGGCAGTTCAGGACAGGTCTTCATCTGTACCTAAAGGGGAAGGTCAGAGAAGTCCTGCATATACACACACGCACACGCACATGCTCTGATTACCCCATCCCATGGCTGGTTTGGAATGAACCCTTTTACAACCCTGCTGTTGTACAGGTTAGGTAGGTGCATCTTGGGTACCTTTTGCTCTGGCTCCACCCCTGGCTGAAATGCATCCAAGGTCTGAAAATGGATCCTGTCCCCCCTCCCCCAAACTTGGCTCACATCTATGGGAACTCCCAACACATTATGGTGGCAGCAGAAAGGCTGATCTGGTACCCACAGGACAGTTCTGGTGGACTTGACTGAGTTGCCACATGAAGTCCTTGGGGAACAGAACAAGTGGGTCTCGGCATGCCAGGAATTGGTGCTGGTGGTAGAAGGGAGGCATGGTTTGAAGAGTCAGGGTTGCCAGCCTCAGCTTAACCCCACCTGCTTCTGTTGCACATGGGGAGAACAAGGGTCCCGTGTTCGCAAGTGCCCAGTCAGAGGAAAGACAGAATGATCCAGCTGCCCCCATCTAAAGGTGCAGAGCCACTAAGTACCGGGCTGCAGGTTCCAATCCTCCTCGGCCTCATTCCTGCTCATTTGAACACTACCCCAATTGGTTGCTGGACATTCTTTTCCTCTAATGATGGCTGGCCACCAAGGAGAGCCTTCTTCTCCCAAAGGCTCTATCTGGAGGCAACTGCCTTGCAGCTGGGTCAGAGAATCAGCATAATTTCCTACTGTAACATAACTCTCCAAATGGTGTGGCCAGAAGCCCCAGCCAGTGGGGCTAATAATGCCTGGAAATGTAGTTTGGCTGTATCTCCATGCTGCATCTTCTGGGGCCTGCCCCAAACAGTCAGGACAAAAGTCCCTTTTCCCCTTGCACTTTGGTATTTCACTGGAGGAGATACAAAACCCATCTTGACTATGGCTCATTTAATCTCAAAAATAAGTCTGTGGCCAGCCACAATCTTGGCTTAGCCAGGCTGTCTGCAGCAAAGGAGGTCCCCCTCTGTTCATTATGCTTGGTCCCCATGTTTTGTATGGCTGCAGATACCGAATACTCCAGCAGAGGTGGAAATCCCCAGCCACTTCTGAGAAAAAAAGCTTTACTGTAAGAAACGTGCTCACAGTGCACCTTGTGACCTTTCCAGGAACAGCTTTGCCGCTGAGGATCTTCCAAGCTGAGGTTGCAGAAGGGCTCGGGGTGAAGAGCCATCTCGCTCCTTTGCTTTTCAACTCCTTTCTAGCCGTTGGTGGAACTGACCAGGACCTCCAGGTACAGGAATCTCTTCATTTTGAACCATTTTTTTTTCATTTTGAACTAAACCCTGGGCCCCTTCCCAGAGCTCTTCCACATGTGGCATTCATTTTCCTGCTACCTAGAGAATAGGCAATTATACAAACTCACCATCTGAAACAATAAGCAGGCACAGTACTTACTTAAATAGAAGACCTTCTGTTGGACTTTTGACAAATGGTTCATGGCTATGTAGAGGAAGCTTCTGGCCAGTTCCATACTAGCCACGGAGAGACTTTGGTTACAGGTAGGTTGACTGGATGTGGTACAGGAACAGGACATTACCCCCACATGAAGCCCTGCTTTATGCCCCTGAACATAGCAACTGTGGCCACCATTTTATCTGCAGCTGGAATCCCAATATCTCAGCTTCACAATTGGCCAAACCCTGCTTAGCTGAGGACACGCAGTTGTTCTGAGCAGTTCCAGGATGCCAGCTGCATCCACCATTCCACCCAGTGAGGGAATATTTCTGTAGAGACCGTGTGTGCAAGGAGCTGCTTGTCACCTTGGGAGGTGAGCTGGCTTGGATGTTTTGCTCCCCCCTCCACCTTCACCACTTCCTTTTCCTGTACAGTAATAGTGGGGCAGGCAGGCTGGTTGCAGCCTGCTTTGGTGTCTAGCTACGACTCATAGTTTTCAGGAGGTGCAGTTTGGGGAGGCCAAGTGAGAGCCTGCTAGAAGACATGGCCTCCTGAATAGAAGGCAAACGGTAATACTGGGCATTGAGAATGGGGGGGGGGGGTCTTTCTCCTTGGCTTCCATGTTGGGTCCTGCTTAGGGTAGAGTGGCATCTGAATGTTATTAAAGTGAATGCCTGGCCTAATGATCTAAAAGGAGAGGTTATGGGTCACACTGTCCTTCCCTTGAGATCTCCAGCACTCTGGTTGGCTTTCTTTGGTCCCCTGATGTCTACTGCCATACACAAGGGGAAAAGAAGCAGACTCCCAGAGGGAATGGCCTGGGGGAGCTAGTGTGCAAGCTTGTATTTCTCTGGATAGAGATGTCAGTCAAGAAAACACTCATCGATTTTAAGGCCAAGAAATGCAGGGCAAAACGTCTGTTAACAGAACATGAGGCATGGGAGAAAAAAGTGTCAGAATTAAATTACGTAAAGAGGGACACTTGCATCTCCATTGTCTTAGTGTGCAATAGATTTTGATCTAGTTGTGCCACGTGCTGGAGAGCCTTAAAGTGTGAGCCTAGAGCTAGTCAAGCTGTGTGAGTTGAGTGTATGGGGCATTTTGCTGAGGTCTTGCCATATCCTGACAGCTAGCAGTGGGGTGAAAAGAAGCCGCTTGGGACAGGAGTGCTCTAGGGACTAGGAGAGAGAAGGCAGGGCGGCGTCTCCCAAATTCATGATAAGGGCCGCAAGGCCTCACAGGGTCATCTGCAGAGTGTTTGCTTATACCAAAACTGCCTTTAAGAGGCTGTTAATGCCTCAGGAACAATTTGGCAGAATACCTCACCACTATCCATTCAAGTAGACTTTCTTTTTCCCAACTTGCTTGTTAGCTAAAGAAAAGGTATGGCTATGTCAAGGAATCACTTCATTAAAGTTAATGTGATTAGCTTTAACAAAGCGGCAGGTTTTTTTCAGGCTTATGTGGAAGACTGAAAAAAAGATTGATTGATTGATTGATTGATTATGTGCCATCAAGTCAGTGTCTACTCTTAGTGACTGCATAGATAGAACTTCTCCATGATGATCTGTCCCTAACCTGGTCCTTCAGCTATCCCAACGGTGCACTCATTGCCACTATGAGTCCATCCACCTTGCTGCTGGTCATCCTCTTCTTTTCTTTCCTTCCACCTTTCCCAGC